ACCTATGAGTCAATAAAGAAATCACAAGGAAAATGAGAAATTATTCAGATTTGGCTGAAAATGAAAACACAATATATGAAAATGTGTGGGATGCAGCAGTACTTAGACGGAAACTGATACCACTAAATGCTTATGTTGGAGAAGACGAAAGATCTCAATTACCCACCTCAGTGTCCACCTTAGACTAAGAAAAGGAGAGAAAATGAAACCCAAAGGAAGCATAAAAAATGAAGTAAACATCAGAGCTGAAATCTACGAAATAGAAAACATAAACAATACAGGAAAATTGATGAAACCAAAAGCTGGTTCTTTGAGATCAATAAAATTGATAAAATTCTAGCCAGACTGATCAGAACAAAACAAGAGGGAAGTCATATGACCAATATCAGGAATGAGAGATGTGACATCACTACAGATATTAAAAGAATAATAAAGGAATATTATGAACAACTTTATGCCAATACATTTGACAGCTTAGCTGAAATAGGCAAATTCCTCAAAAGATACAAACTACTAAAGCTCTCAGGAAGAAATTTGTAACCTGAACATCTCTATATCTAATAAAGAAATTGACTTTGTGGTTAAACACTTTCCCATGAAGAAAAATCCAGGCCCCAATGACGCACTGATGAATTCTACCAAATATTTAAGGAAGAAATAGGGGCCAGCCCAGTGTTGCAGTGGTTAAGTTCTCACGTTCTGCTTCGGCAGCCCAGGGTTTGACAGTTTGGATCCCAGGTGCGGACCTATGTACCACTTGTCAAGCCACACTGTAGCAGGCATCCCCCATATAAAGTAGAGGAAGATGGGCATGGATGTTAGCTCAGGGCCAGTCTTCCTTGGCAAAAAGAGGAGGATTGGCAGCAGATGTTAGCTCAGAGCTAATCTCCCCCCCCCCCCAAAAAAAGGAAGAAATAATACTAAAGTCTATACAAACTTCCAGAAAACGGAAGAGGAAGGAAACTTCCCTACTCATTCTATTATGCCAGCATTACTTTGATACCAAAACCAAATATTATGAGAATATTACAAGAAAAGAAAACTACAGACCAGTGTACCCCATGAACACAGATGCAAAGATTTTAAATAAAATTTAGCAAATAGAATCTGACAATATATTAAAAGGACAATACACCACAGGCAAGTGAGGTTTATTCCAGGTATGCAAGATTGGCTTGACATTAAAAAAAATCAATCAGTGTAATTCACCATATTAATATACCAAAAATGAAAAGCCATATGATAATCTCAATAAATGAAAAAAAAAAAAAGAATTTCACAAAAGACACCATTCATTCTTCAGTAAACTCTTGGAAAACTAGAACTGAAAGGGAATTCCTTCAACCTCATGAAAGGCAACTATAAAAAACCTACAGCTGACATCATACTTAGTGGTGAAAGACAATGTTTTTCCCCTAAGTTCAGGAAAAAGGCAATTACATCCCCTGTCACTATTTCTATTCATCATTGTAGTGGTGGATAGAGCCAGTGCAATAAGTCAAAGAAAATTGATAAAAGGTATCCAGATTGAAAAGGAAGAAATAAAACTTTTTATTTGCAGAGAGTATGATTGTCTACGTAGAAAATCCTGTGGAAATCTTTAAAAAGCTACTAGATCAACATTAAAAAACAAATTGTATTTCTACATAGTCACAAACAATCAGAAATGTAAATTTAAAAATACAATTTATAATATCATAAAAAATATGAAATACTTAGGGATAAATCTGACCAAAAAATATGCAAGGGTTGTACACTGAAAACTAGAAAACACTGATGAGAGAAATTAAAGCAACCCTAAATAAATGAGTAGATATACCATGCACATGAATTGGAAAGCAATATTTTTAAGATATCAGTTCTCTCCAAATTGATCTACAGATTCAAGACCCTGAGCTAGACAAGTTCCATGATGCATTTATGGAGATGAAACTATAGACAATTTCACATTTATTCAGTATTCACAAATATTTACTTAGCATCTATAATGTGCCAGGCTCTGGAGATATAGTCATGAATAAAACTAAGATTCTACTCACACCAATTCCAGTGTGTCAGTCTTTTCCCCACCACCAAGCAATTCTCCAACAACAGCTGAGTGTCCTACAATTCAACTCAATTCTGACATTATCTACCTGGTAATAGTGTCAGATCCCACTGGTTAAGGGCTCAATCCTACAACACTTCCCCTCCCACTCCCCTTCAGACACGAATTGCAAGTCCAGGTTGTCTCCTGTGCTTCTGACCTACTGGCTATAGATTGGAGGTTCCAACGACCCCCTCGAGTTTGATTAATTTGCTAGATCAGCTCACAGAACTCAGAAACATTTTACTTACTAGATTACTAGCTTATTATAAAAGGATATAACTCAAGAACAGCCAGATGGAACAGAAGCATAGGGCAAGGTATGGAGAAATGGCTTGGAGGTTCCATGCCCTCTCTAGGTGAACCACTCTCCCTGCATCTCCACTTGTTCACCAACTCAGAAGCGCTCTGAATGCCATCCTTTTGGGTTTTATGGAGGCTTCATTACGTAGGTCCAAGTGATTAAATCATTGGCCATTGATTCAGCCTCTATCCCCTCCTCCTTCCAGAGGTCAGGAGTGGGGGTGGGGACTGAAAGTTCCAACCCTCTAATCACATGGTTGGTTCTCCTGGCACTCAGCCCCCATTCTTAGGTGCAGTCCAAAAGTCATCTCATTCACATAACAAAAAACAGTATTATCACTCTCATCACTTAAAAAATTCCAAGAGTTTTAGGACCTCTGAACTAGAAATGAGGATGAAGACAAAATATATTTCTTATCATTCACAATATCACAAAAACAAAAACTAACAAAAAAAAAATATATATATATATACCCTCATAAAATATACATACTATGAGACAAAGAAAGGAAAAGGAACAAGAGAACTCAAGGATGGCTCCTAAATTTTCACTTGAGTAACTAGGTGGATGATGGTACATTTGTTGAACTAGGAGAAATGCTAGATTGGGAGGGCAGGAATTAAGAGTTTGGTGTGGACATGTGACATTAGAGGTGGCTTTTAGATATCCAAGGGAAGACTTCAGGTAGGCATAAGGAATTGGGGCTTGAAGTTTGGGGAGAGGTGAAGGCTGGAGATAGAGATTTGTAAGCCATAGTCATGTAAATCATATTTAAAGCTATGGGACCAAAGGAGATCATTTAGAGAAAAGCTTCAAAAGAAAAGACCCAAGGCCAAACCTATGAGTATTCCAACTTTTGGAGGTGGAACAGAGGAAGAGTATTCAGTAAAGGAAATAGAGAAGTAGTCTTCATGAGGTGGGAGAAACTACCTTTTGTGAGATGTTCTAGAAACCAAGATAAGGAAGTATCTCAATTTTGTTGAATGCTTTTGAGGTCAAATATGATGAAAACAGAGCGAGTCTGTTTAATTATTCAACTGGAATTCCATTGATACCTTGACAGGAGTAGTTTCAGGACAGTAGTCAGGGTCAAGAAGCCAATTAAAGTTGACTGAGGAGAGAAATGGAGGTGAGAAAATGTAGGCAGCAACAAGAGGCAACTCTTCAAAAATATTTTTCTATGAAGGAAAGTTAGGAAATGGAGCAATTGCTCAAGTGGGCTATAGGTCAAGAAAGGATTTTTTAAAGATGAGATATAAAAACATGACTTTATGACATAGATTGGAAATGCCAGTAAAGTCAATGACCACTAGTATCAAGTGGACTCCTAATTGTCAGGCAATAGGACTACATTTCCTTAATCCATTCACTCTCCCATATTCCTAAATAACTAACATTAGAATGTCAAATGCCATTGATTATAAAATACATTATTATTTTTTGTACTACTAAGAAAGACAAAAATGCTGCCAATTAAACTATGGCATGCCATCATTTCTAAGATAGCAATCACACACATGTTGAAATATGAAAAGTGTGCATTAGCATCAATGTAATACAGTATTTATTTTTTCTCTCCTCAAACCTCCAATACCTTCTCTTTATCTTCACTTTCAGCTTCCCATTTCACCAAGAAAACAAAAGCACTCAGAAGAGGCCATCCTCATTGTCCCACCAAATCTGTCCACCTATCTGCATCTGTACCTATAAACTCTGCCTCCTCTTTTATTTCAATGGATGAATTGTTCATCTCTAATGTAGAACTGAGCCTTCCGATTGTGTACTGAATTCCATTCCTTCTCTCCTCAAGAACTTTTCTTCCTGCAACTGTCCTGTCTCTCCTGTATTGTCAATTTCCCCCCTTTCTGTATGATTTTAATTAGGGTGCAAACACACTGTAATTTCTTCCATCTTAAAAAAAATTCTGGACCCCAAATCCAAATGCAACAGCAGCATTATTTTTCTGCTCATCTTAAAAAAGCAAAACTTCTTAAAAGTACTGTCTATATATGTTTTTTCCACTCCCTCTCCTCCCATTCTTCCATCCCACTCTTACCAGACTTTATCAGACTTCCACTACTACGCCAAAATGGCATGTTGCAACAACCTCGACATTGCTAAATCCAATGGTCAATTCTTAGTTCTCATCCTTCTTGACCCATCAGCAGCATTTAACGCAGTGGATCACTTCCTTCTTGAAATATTGTCTTCCCTTGATTTTGCACATCCAAACGTTCCTACTTCTCCATTTACCTCACGGATTAAGCCTTCTCAGTCTTTGTTGGGTCCTCTTCATCTCCCTGGCCTAAGCTAGTGCATTGCTAGAAGAAACTAAACTGAGTAAGGGAAAATTATTCTCTTAGCAAACAGCTGATTTAGATTTTCTGTTGTCTATCTTTTTAAACGAAAATGATATTAACACCTCCCTTTCGAAAACGACCGTGGCTCTCAAAGCAGCCCCGGAAACACCAACCCAGGAATCTCCCCCCAAAGAGGGAGAAGCATCTGACGCCTTCCGTAAACGAGCTCCACCGGCCTTATGGGAAATGTAGTCTCCGGTTGATGGCCTGCGCAGCAGGGGAGCCTGGGAACTCTGGGTGGGTAATTACTTCCGCACACGCGCAGTGGGGCGGTAGCTGGTGTTCTGTAATCTTCAAACCAGCGCTCAGTGCAGTGAGAACGGGGGTTACTCGCGGAGTCTCTCTGGGACGTCTCTGTAGCCTGGTCTCAGGCTTAGAGCCCGAGCTGGGAGCCTGGCGGTGAAAGTTCTCAGGTAGGATTCTGCCGGACTCGGGGGACGTAAGGGAAGGGCGGAGAGAAAGACAGGGACCAGTTTTTTGGCATACTCAACCGAGGATAAAACTTCACAACCCCCACGTGCGATGACTTCGTGTTTTCATGTGTGGGTCTGTCCGGTTCTGGAGTGATTCAGAGAAAGCAAGAGCACAGCTCCGCCTGCCATTCGTGGGTTCTCAGATCCCAGGTGGGGCTGGGGCGGGCTCAGTTTGCGTCCCTGCCCTTGTAGGCACAGGTGAATCTGTAGGAGTCTGTGCTTCAAACTGTACCTTTCCTGGTTACAGGAGCACCGTTGGCCCCACCAGACAACAGGAAATAATAAACCATTTCAAGCGATCTGGGAGGAAAGCATTTCTAGAGAAACTGCTAGGCACTCTTCTTAGGGCATTCTCACATCTGAATCATCTGAAGTAAATGTCTTCGTTTTGCGTATGAATTAACTGAAGCTGAGAGGTGAAGTTACTTGTCTAGACTCACACAGCTTAGTAAGTAAAAGAGCTGAGATTGAAACCTAGATGAGTTTTCTCTTAATTTCCTTCTGTTTTGCAAGAGCACTCTGCAAAAAACGGAATTGGATTTATTCTCCTTTTGAAATATTTGAGCAATGAATGCTGTGTAAATTTCGCTTTGTTACTTTTTTTTAAAGAGTCTCTTGTTCTACCGATCTTTCCGTGGAGACCGTGTAAATAAAGCTGTGAGTCCCTCTTGTTCATTTTAGCCTTTCTAGGGCCCCAGCACTGCTGGTTAGAATGTCAAAAAGCCCAGACTGGCCTCAAGGAGATGGTGAGTTCCCAGAGAGAGAGAGAAACAGATTTGGAGTCAAAACTGAAGGCTTCGAGTTAAAAAAACAAAAAAAAATGTTCCTGGGTTCCTGGGTCCAGCCTTCTCAAGAAAGCTCAACCTAGTTTGAGATCTCTTACCCCAGCTTCAGAGGAGAGACCAGAGAAAGACAGGCAGGAATGACTTCTATATATTTATTTTGAGGAAGATTAGCCCTGAGCTAACATCTGCTGCCAATCCTCCTCTTTTTGCTGAGGAAAATTAGCCCTGAGCTAACATCCATGCCCGTCTTCCTCTGCTTTGTATGTGGGACGCCTGCTACAGCATGGCTTGCCAAGCAGTACCATGTCCGCACCCGGGATCCGAACCAGCGAACCCCAGGCCACCAAAGCAGAATGTGCACACTTAACCGGTGAGCCACCGGGCTGGCCCCATGGAATGACTTCTAGAGATAGTGAGCTTCAGAGATCAGGCTTTTAGTTAGTCTTTTAACTGATTCATTATTATTTTCTTAAGGTAGATTTCTGGGAGGAAAAAAGAGGACTGGTTCAAAGGTTACCAACTTGCTGTAAGATCAGTAGGACAGAAATGTACAATATCCTTATCTAAACTCTATATATTCAAAAGAGGATCACAAGTAGAGATCAGTGCTTATAACATATGGACTGTTCTGACTTGTTAGAAATGTCATTCTCCCACTAGGTGGCATTTTCTGAGGCTGCAATGTGGGTGATTCTGTTCTGATGGAGCAGAGTTCTACATTGCAGTCCTGGATTTTAATGTGTTTCTATTTTTTTCCCTATTTGTACTTTCATAGATCTCTGTGCAAGAGCTTCAGAAAATGATCAACTTCCAGGTAAGATATCCGTTTATTCAGTCATTCAAATCTCTGGAAAATCCACATAAAAAGGAAAGGTACACTCAGGGAAAATGTAGATTGACTAGATCAGATCCAAAAGGGAATTTAGAAAGTTGATAAGTTGATAGCCAGGTCATAAGGTGTGTACGTAGTTGGAATAAATTTGAGCTGTGTATGTGTACTCAGTCTTTCTGGTGATCATAGAAAATGGATAGCCAACAAGTTAAAGTATTGGCATTGTCTGTGAGGCGAAAGGAAAACAATTCCCCAAATAGGTAAAGTTTTTCCTGGCATAATTCTCTGAAGAAAATATCTTATAATGGGTTTTCATAGAGATAATGTTAGAAATAACATTCACAGCAACGACCCTGTGATAAATGTAACATCAGATTTCCTATGACTTTGAGTGTTCCCTAGAGCAAGCAGAGAACACGGTGCCAAGCAGCACTGTATGAACTCAATTTGTAAGTCCACCTACATAGCCTGTTTAATGTTCATCCATAAGTAAACCTGGTACCTTTTCCAGAGTATCCAGCTAGTCTTGAGCATTTTCTCTTCCATGTGAATTTTAAAATCAGTTTGTCAAGGTCCATAAAAGAGTGTATTAGATATTTTATTGTGATTGCATTACACTTTTAGATTAATTTGGAGAGAATTCGTAACTTTTCAGTAATGAATCCTCCATTTATTCAATTTTCCTTATAACCTTCATTGCATTTTTATAGGTTTATTATTGTAACTCTTGTAAATTTCTTATAATGTTTGTTCTTACATATGATTTAAGTTGATGAGAATGGGATGGATCTTTTTTCATTATATTTTTTAATTGACTATTCTGGTGTATAGGAAAGTATGAATTTATCTATTTGACTTTATGTCAACTTACAGAACTCTTATTAAGTCAAAGAATTTTTCAGTTGATTGTAGATTTTCTAGGTAGACAATCGTATACTCTTCAAATGGAATTTTGTTTCTTACTGCCCAATATGTAAGTCTCCATTTTTTTTTCTTGTCTTATTGCAATGGACTATAATTTTGAATGTAATTGCTGGCTAGAATCTTTTTTCTTCCAATTTTAATGGGAATGCTTCCAGTGTTTCACTGTTTCCTCTTGTATTCTGGTATATAGTTGTTTTTTGGTTTCGTTTTTAATCAAGTTAAGGATATTTAGCTTGTGAAGATTGTTTTCATAAATTGGGAACTTTTTTCCTCATATCCTTTTTTTTATAGCTGTCAATAAAATCATTTATCTTCTTTAATATAGCAGTTTAGAGAACTTCTAATACATTTTCCAATATTGAACTCTGTATTCGTGGGATAAACCCTACCTAGTCTCTTAACTTTTTAAACGGCCAGATAGTAAATATTTTAGGCTTAAAGACTATATAGCCTCTGTGGCAACTACTCAACTCTGCCCTTGTAGCTGAAGTAAAGGAATGGGTGTAACTATGTTCCAGGAGCATTGTAGTTACAAAAACAGGAGGACAGCCCATAGGTTGTAGTTTGCTGACCCCTGCTCTATGTGGTCTTAACTATCTCTTTGTGATAGACATGTAGCCACAAGCTTTTTAAATTTCAGTTTAAGTTAATTAAACATGATTTTAATTATTTTTGTATCACTGTTATAGTATCTAGTAGGTCCTCATTAAATATTTCATGAGTGAATGAATGAAGAACATATAAGCAGTATTTTAAAATAATGAGTTTTTACTCAATATACATATATTGAGAATATGTAATAATTCATATATTACAAATTGACACATTTAAAGTGTATACAATTGAGTGGTTTTTAGTATATTCACTAAATTGTGAAACCATCACCGCTATCTAATTTCAAAACATTTCCATTACCCTCAAAAGAAACCCCACACCTGTAAGTGGTCACTCCCAATTCCTCCCCTCCTCAGCCCTAATTTACTTTCTGTTTCTATGGATTTGCCTGTTCTGAACATTTCATACAAATGAAACCATACAATATGTAATCTTTTGACTGACGCAGCACAGTTTTTCAAGAGTCATCTATGTTGTAGATTCCTTTTTATTCCCAAATGATATGGCATCACATGGATATACTTCATTTTGTTATTCTACTCATCTGTTGATAGATAACCATACTGTTTCCACTTTTTGACTATTATGAATAATTCTGCTATGAACATTTGTGTACAGGTTTTTTTTGTGAACATATGTTTTCACTTCTCTTGGGTCTGTACATATTGCTGGATCATATGGTAACTCTACGTTTAACATTTTAAGGAACTGCCAAACTGTTTTCCATAGTTGCTGCACCATTTTACAATCCCACCAGCAATGTATGAGAATTCCATTTTCTCCACATCCTTGCCAAAAACATGTCATTGTCTGTCTTTGATTTTAGTCATCCTAGTGGATGTGAAGAGATGATCTCATTGTGGTTTTGATTTGCATTTTACTAATGACTAATGATGTTGAGTATCTTTTTGTGTGCTTGTGGACCATGGATGTCTTTGGAGAAATGTCTGTTCAAATCCTTTGCCCATATTTAAGTTGAGTTGTCTTTTTATTGTTGTTTTGTAAGAGTTCTTTTTGAATTCTACATACAAATCTCTTATCAGATACATGATTTGCAAATATTTCTTCCCATTCTGTGGGTTGTCTTTTCACTTTCTTGATGGTGTCCTTTGAACCACAAAATTTTTAAATTTTGATGGATTCCAGTTTATCTTTTTTTGGTTTTGTCACTTATACTTCTGTCACATCTAAGAAACCACTGCGTAATAATCTAAGGTCACAAAGATTTACTCCTATGTCTTCTTCTAAGAATTTTGTGGTTTAGCTCTTACATTTAGATCTCTGATCCATTTTTAGTTCGTTTTTATATAAGACGTGAGGGGTGTAGGGGAGAGGGGGTCCAACTTCATTCTTTTGCATGTGGATATCCAGTTGTTGTCCTGGCACTAGTTGAATATTTCTAATAAGATTTTTGTTTATGTATACATTACATCTTGTTCACCACCCGAACACTAATTATAGTGCATCCCCTCACATGTGAGCCTAATCACCCCTTTTGCCCTCCCCCCTCCCCCCTTCCCCAATGGTAACCACCAGTCCAATCTCCAATGCTATGTGTTTGGTTTTTTTTTTTTGTAGTTTTTATCTTCTACTTATGAGTGAGATCATATGGTATTTGACTTTCTCCCTCTGACTTATTTCACTCAGCATAATGTACATCTGAAAAAAATAAAAATTAAAAAAAGAAAAAAAGATTTTTGTTTCTCTCAAAAAGTATATCTCTGAATAAAGCATACAGTACTTATCATATGTAACTTTCTGAAACCTCAACAATGCATATGATATGATCATAAGAGGCTGCCATGATTCTCTTGCAAGTCCCCAAATGATGCACACTTTAGTTTGAAGATCAATGTGCTGTTACAGGGATCAGTGACATTCCAGGATGTGGCTGTGGACTTCACCCCAGAGGAGTGGCAGCTGCTTGACTGTGATCAGAGAACCTTGTATTGGGATGTGATGCTGGAGAACTTTAGAAACCTCGTCTCAGTGGGTAAGGACAGTGGGTGGTAGCTTTTCCGTGTAACTCAGAATGTATTAATAGGGCCCTTCCTTTAAGACTTGTGAAGGCTGTGACCGTTCTGAAACATTAATAAGTTTGGTCCTGAGTTTTAGTGGGCAGAGATTCTTAATCTGCTTTAGGGATCAGATAGTCTGTTTATGCTTCTCCCTCCCAAATGGAGGAGAAGGGTCTTTTCTGTTCTAAGGCCCGTTTGTTGTCGTTTACAGGCCCTGAGACTCAAGGAGGCAGCCCTGAATTGTGAGGTAGTTGTTTGTCCCTAGCACTTTGCCTCCAGTTCTGTGTTGTTTCCCATGAACAGGGGATCCAGTTACCAAAACTAAAGTGATCTTCAAGGTGGAGCAGGGACAAGAGGCGCAGATGGGAGAGGGAGAGAGCCCACGTTGGAGCTGTCCAGGTGAGTGGGGGAACCAGGCAGGTGGAGTCTTTGGAATTGAGATGCCAGTGGGTCAGTGAGCCACAGGCAGCTTGGAAATACTTTTCAGGAAGCACCTCTTAAAAGCCACACACCTTTGGAAGGGACTGGGTACACTTGACATAGCATCATCATCTCCCCAAATGACACCTTCCGTTTCACTGTCACCACACAGCTGCTCTTTCTCTTTGCTCAGCTCTAGTGTGGAGGGATGTGCCTCTCCTCTCTCCTCTGGCTCCTCGCACTGCCTGTTTCAGCGAGGTCCTTGCTTTGTTCTCTTAATTCCTGCAATCCTCATTCTTCCCTCCTCCACGTGACCGCAGATCTTTTCCATACAGTTAGTTCTTACAATGTAGTCAGATTGTGTGGATTTGAAGTCTTACTCTACCAGTCATTGTCTAACCTAATTATTTTGTAGCACTACTTTATTTATAAAATAGGGATAATATTAATCCTTACCTCAGGTTTCTTGTAAAGATTATATGAGCTAATACATGCAAAGCCCTTCAAATAGTTGGCAGGTGGTAAGTGTCCAGTATTTCTTAGTTGTTATTTCAAAAGTTTTAGTAACATTATGCTCTAATTATTTTCCTTTTTTTTTAAACTCTTTCCTTTTCTTATATCATATACCCCACCTGTGTACCCGACCGTACTCATCTTTAGTCCCCCTGCTAACTTGTGGTATCTACCTTCTGGTGCATCTTTCTGCTTCACTTGGTAATAATTCTCTAACTTTATTTGCATTGGTTCCTTGCTAATCTGCCCTCACCCTTTCCTCCTACTTATTCATCTTTTGCCTCTTGCCTTCTCTTCCATGTTCTGAGCTTCTCTCCACAGGAGCTCCCTCAGAAACTTCATCAGTCTAAAGTCTCAGGTTATTTGTTTTATGCCATCTCTGGCATCTTTGCCTCGCCATCTTTCCATTCCTATAATTGTACCCAACCTGGCCTTATTCTCTGTTTTTTCATAGTAACCAATTTTTAATATTCTTCAGCCTTCACTTTCATCTTTACATTACAATAAAGGATGTTGACTGGCCCACTGCTTTGCAATCTCAGAATCTCTGTGGTAAGCGATTAGGTTTATTCCCTCTTGAGAGTTTCTCATTAGATATTATTGTGACTTAATGCCTATGATGTCAACTGTTAGTTTATCTCAGACTGAGTCAAAATAAAATTTTCCCTTTCCATAGAGCCCATAAAAGAAATATGTTTCAAATGATTAAGACACCACTTAAGAGTACTGGAGATTCCCTGGGACCCTAACATCTACTGACGTAAACCAAATGAATTCTAACTCCTGATATGGTGTCTAGGCTATTTGTGTTCCTATATTGCCACTTCTATTTTCTGGTTTATCTTAGATGTTCTCATAAGGTTTATCCAAATTATTTCATTTTTCTTGTCACTCTTCTGACAAATAAACGTAAGTCACTCCTTTATAAGCTGTATTGTAATATTTAAATGGCTTTTTAAGGCCCTCTTTAATGTGATCCCATTTTGTTTATCCAGAATTGTCCATCTTTTCCCTATTCCATGGCAGTTGGGCTCTTTTAGTGTCCTCTATACACTATTTTCTTTTCTTCATCAGTCCTTTTGTTTCTGGGGGGCTCCACCTAACTAATATTGGCATCTATTAAGTCTGAATTCAGTTTTCTCCTCTTTCATGGTAACTCCAGCCTAGATTAATCTCTACCTTGTTTGAACTGCCATCCCAACTCTATTATGGCTCTGTCATGAAAACTTGATGTATACTATCTTAGATTTTTTTTTAAAACCTTGTAGCTTTTAAGGCATGTTTTCTTGTGGTAACACTTTGAAGAGGAAGTCCTGTATCATTTTTTCCTTTACACCATTGCTGAGCACATAATGGGCATTCAATGAACATTTCATTAATTCCTTGTTGTAAAGTTAGACATTGTGGGGATGTTTCTTATTCTTTCATCCATCAAAGCTTCTTAATGTTTCCTGAGAAGGATTCAAAGAAAGTGAAAAAAAAAAAACCCATTTCCATTTTCCAGGTGTGCAAATTGTAGTTGAAAAGGCAAAACATAGCCATATAAAATACCTTAAAATTTGAGAAGTTTGGCACATTTGTTCAATGCACAATAGCATTGTAGTTTTGTTCTAGTTAATTGTCAAAATGAATGGTTTAGGTAGCAGTGGTGACTAGAAGTTCAGAGAAAATGGAGCTTAAAGTTCAAAGTATGCAAAGGTTGGAAGTCTTTTTTTGAGAACACTGGCTCCTCCCTAAAGAGTATAAAGAATAGGATGAGAGGGGATGAGGGAGGGGAAATTAAGGTGGGGAAGGAACATGAGCAAAATATTGTAATTATTTAGTCTAGAATCTGTGGAACAGAAGGTATTTGTTGAGGACTGGTGGAATGCATGCTTAGACACCATGAGTAAATGCATTATTTTGCATAATTTTATTCACTGGGATGATTACCCCGGATTTTTCAGTTGGTTATTGTTGGGAGAGGTAACACAGGATGCTGCTTCCCATTGGTGGAAGTGGAAAAGAAAGAAGACAGACTCCAAATCCTCTTATTTAGAACCACTCTATAAAGAAATGTATACTAAGGGCTGTATAGCTCACTATTCCTTCCGGCTTCACAGAGAAGGATGAGGCAGGGAGCAGGAGTCTGGGGGCTTGTACCAACACTCCACATGGCAGGAAACTCAGGAGTAGGAAATTATAACCCTGTCTCCCAAATTTCTTTCTCTTTTAATGGAGCAGTGGATTTGGGATTTATAGGATTTTGAAGATAGTGAAAAAATGTGACTTCAGGAGCAAAGCAGCCTTCTGGGGACTAGTTTGTTAGGCAGATTGAAAGAGGATGTAAGAACAGTACTTGTCAAATACAAATATGACAAATAGTTGTCATATATAGAAAGCTAGCTAGAATAAAAATGATAGCAAGCAGACAGAATTTGTGCCCGGGCTAAGGATGACTTGCCTTGGAATGACCTGCTGGACAGTTGTGTGCCTGGGCTCACAAGCACATGTAAGAATGAACCCAGCTGTGGTAGAGTTGGAGCCCTGTCTACAGACATGTTTCAGCTGTGGTTTGGATGGAGTTTTAGAGGGCTGAAAATGTAAGAATGCTCCTGAAGGGAACGGACATTGTGCCAGGTGATTAAGAGCAAAAAGAGATGTGAATGAGGGGAATAGGGAGCTATCCTGCCAGGATAGGAATTAGGTAGTGAGGACTCTGATTCTGATCTGCCTCCTCCAAATCTAGTCTGTCCTCTGATATTTTCCCTCAACCCCCTTGTCTCTTGTTCCCCTGGTTACCCTATCCATTATTCAGATCTCCATGGGCTGTCTTCGTTCTGTGAGCTAACTGTGTACCCTTGTTGAGCAACCTTTTGACTTCCTTTGTACCCTACTCACTGTACCTTGTGCCTATTTTACTGTCTTTCCACAGGTCACAAGTGAAGCCATCTGTTCTCATTATTGCCATTTATCTGCTCCCATTTCCTCTTTAGCAGTTTTATTCTTAAAGCTTAGGAGCAAGGCCAATACAGGCTTTGTTTCAGAATGAAAGACTAGATTGAAAGTTTCTTTCCATAACACATTGATGGAAAAAATTAACTAGGAATGTTTTATTGTACTTCTTTTTAGAAGCTGACTACCCACTTGTTGATGAATCAGAGAAGAACCAGGAAAGCAAAGACAACTTTTTGAATTCAGTTTTGTTCACATTCAATAAAATTCTGGCTATGGAGAGAGTCCACCGTTATAATATGAGCACAAGTCTTAATCCTACAAGAAAAAAATCATATAAATGTAAATCATATGGGAAGAGTTTGCAACCTACTCTAGACTTACTTCATTATAATAGAAGTTATACTGGCGAAAACTCTTATGAATGCAGTGAATGTGGGAAAGCCTTCAAAAAGAAGTTTCATTTCATTAGACATGAAAAAAATCATACAAGGAAAAAACCCTTTGAATGCAATGACTGTGGGAAAGCCTATAGCAGGAAGGCACACCTTGCAACTCATCAGAAAATTCATAATGGAGAGAGACCCTTTGTGTGCAATGATTGTGGGAAAGCGTTTATGCATAAAGCACAACTGGTGGTCCACCAGAGACTTCACACTGGAGAGAAACCCTATGAATGTCGTCAGTGCGGGAAATCCTTCACTTGGAACTCCTCCTTTACTCAACATGTGAAATCTCATACACTCGAGAACTCATTTGCATGTAAGGAATGTGGGAAAACCTTCAGGTACAGTTCGTCCCTTTATAAACATTCTAGATTTCATACAGGAGAGAAACCCTACCGATGTATTGTATGTGGCAAAGCCTTTGGCAACACATCTGTGCTTGTTACCCATCAGAGGATTCATACAGGAGAGAAACCTTATGGATGTATTGAGTGTGGCAAAGCCTTCATCAAGAAGTCACATCTCCTTAGACATCAGATAACTCACACAGGAGAAAAGCCTTATGAATGTAACAAATGTGGGAAAGCATTTTCCCAGAAGTCAAATCTTATTGTCCATCAGAAAATTCATACATAATATTCACTTTATGAATATGAGAAAGCCTTAAATATTAATTAAATCTTATTAAATAGAGAATTCACGGTGAGGAAAGATCCATCAATTTGAATGAATTTGGAAGAGTAGATTCCCATAAAAAATAATGCCAGTCATGTTCTGGAATTGATAAAGTTTTTACAGAAAAGATCACAGAAAACATTAAATTATCAGTAATAGAGCATAGAGCTTGGAAAGGAAGCATAACTTAATCAAGGAATCAGTGAAACTAAATTTACCATCCCTGATTTTTTATTTTTATAACAGATTATACAAATGTGAGTATAAAATATGTTTATACATTATATCTATTAAGTTTCTACAGTCAATATCATCATTTTTTTCTTCCAGTCCTAACAATAATATGCAAGTGAAGAAATGGTTTAATATGTAGTAAAACTCATTCTAAAAATGTTCTCCTATATATGTAAACACCAAAACAAAAAATATAACAAGATGCCAATTGAGAGAGAAAAAGCAGTTGATTTCTGTATGACAGTAAGTATGCATTGAGGAAAAGAAGTATTTAAGCATGTAAATAAAACATTTGCACTCAAATATTCCTGTTCTTTTTCGTTGGTGTATCTACATAAGATGTAAGAGTAATTCAAGTAGCATTTAACTGGGGCATCATCTGTATTTGATTTTAGTAAAGTGGTGTCATGATACTTTCAGCTTTCAGGGAGCAAGTTTTGGGGTCTTTTTTTTGTTTTTTTGTAAGAAATTGATACAGGTTTAGCTCCTAGGACTGCCTGGAATTTTCCACGTGACAGCATAGTCAGCATTAATCAAGTTACAAAGAGCAAGCTTTTCTGTTTAGCAACTTCCCTTTGGAATGTGACTTTTTTTTTTTTTTTTTTTTTTTTGAGATTGGCCCTGAGCTAACATCTGTTGCCAATCTGCCTCTTTTATTTTTTTCTCCCCCAAACCCCAGTACATAGTCATATATCCTAGTTGCAAGACATTCTAGTTCCTCTGTGTGGGATGCTGCCACAGGATAGCTTGATGAGTGGTGTGTAGGTCTGTGCCCAGGATCTGAACTGGCAAACCCCAGGCTGCTGAAGCAGAGCAAGTGAACTTAACTACTGGACCATGGGGCCGGACCCTGGAATGCGACATTTTTTAAGTTCTACATTCTCCCTTAAAAGGATGAACCATCCATTATTTAAGCTAGACTTTTTATCGCTGTCCACAGTATTCCTTGATAATGTCAAAAACCTTTATGCCTCTCCTTGACTGGTGACAAAACAGCTTGACCCTAAATTCAGAAATCAAGCCTCTTCAAGTTTAAGCTCAGTTACAACTATGTTGTATTGTTTTTCCTGCATTAGCTATTTTTTGAAGAGTAATGTTGAGTAGTGATTATAAATAAAGGATAGCGCTTTTTTGAACAAGCATACCAGAACTTAAGGATCTAAATTAAATCTTGTCTACTGACAAAGAATCTTTGCTTGACCAAACTTTAGTCAGGCTCCTCAACCTTCTCCCGGGCCCATCTGTGCGCCTCCCTGTAAAATTTAGTTTTAGTGAGAACCCCCAACCCTCGATGTCTGCTCAGTTCCTCATCCTCCACCATCCAGGTGATGTCTGACCACTCTGGCTTGTCTTCAGCAGGAATTTCTTAGCTTGATTTAGCCAGAACCCCCCTTACCCCTGAGGTTTCCTCTTAGTGATTTTCCATCCGCTGACCCCTGACCCTGCTCCTTGGCTGTACATTCTCACTTGCTCGTGCTGTATTTGGAGTTGAGCCCAATCTGTCTCCTCCACTAAAATTCCATTGCAGTGGTCCCTATACCTATTGTGATGGTCCTGAATAAGGTCTGTGTTACCATCTTTAACAAGTGTCATGGAATATCTTTTTTCTTTAACACTTCCCAAGTTATTTTAGGAGGCTATTTTAGGATGCTACTTTCACTTCAGTCATTCCAACAGTTGCTGAAACCTTCTTTTGGAATTGTCTTCAGAATCGGTTTGCCGGCCGCGCAGAAACTCTTCAGGTATTTATAGTCACAGGACTTGCATTTTTTCAGCTCAACAGTTTTCTCTCATTTCCTACATGAAATCCTCATTTCCCCCTACTTAGCGGTTACCATTCCCATCCTATCTTCCCTTCCCATGCTCGTGCTTCTCATCTGAGAAACTCCGAACTACTTAAGACTACAGGAAGAGGACACATTTTAGGAGGGAGCAAAGGGCTCCAGTATTACCAGCATGATGTGAGGTCCCCTTGAAAGAACAGCTGTGGACGCCAAGGTAGGAAGAGGTGTGCAATGGTCTCCTCTAGGAACAAGGGAATAGGACAAGGGAGTTTGTTACAAACAGACAGACACCAAGATATGGAGACCAGATTGGTGGTTCCCAGAGGAGAAGGGGGCAGGAGTAAGGTGAAAGGGTAAAGGGGCACATTTGTACAGTGCCGGATGGTGACTAGACTTTTGGTGGAGAACATGATGCAGTCTATACAGAAATCGGAATATGATATACACTTGAAATGTATATAACGTTACAAATCAATGTGACCTCAATAAAAAAATAATAAGGGAGTTTTGTAATATATCAGGAGGCATCTGGTCTGGGTTCCATAAATTAATTTGTTCCTTTCCTTAAATGAAAGAAGGAGTATAGTAGAATAAGTTAAACTATATTTCCAGTACTGGACAAATATAAACTGCCCCCTGGAGACCTTTTGTTGCTGACCTCATCGTCTTAGGCTGTACAAGATTTTGGTAAGAAGCAAACCAAACTATACTCAGCTCCATCAGAACATCTCAGATTCCCAGAACTCCCTAGTCTATTTGTGCTCTGTGCTGTAACAGCCATGCACAATCTAAGTGAGAAATCCTTTGATTTCTTCCCACCTCTAAGAGTTTGTCATATCTTGAGATATTCTTTCTTTTTGTTACTCTGTACAAAGATCACTTCAAAGTGCCCTCTTTCTCTTTTGTTTTGAGGAAGATTAGCCCTGAGCTAACTACTGCCAGTCCTCCTCTTTTTGCTGAGGAAGACTGGCCCTGAGCTAACATCCGTGCCCATCTTCCTCTACTTTTTTATACGTGGGACGCCTACCACAGCATGGCTTGCCAAGCGGTGCCATGTCCGCACCTGGGATCCGAACCAGTGAACCCCGGGCCGCGGAAGCAGAACATGCGAACTTAACCACTGTGCCACCTGGCCAGACCCTCTTCAGAATGCTTTAATCTGGAACAATTCCTCAGCTGCCAGAGTCCAGCTCCAACAGAGTCCAGGTTCCTGAGGGATGAACGGCGTCGGCGAAGGGAATGAGACTGCACACCAAGTTGGTGGAAGCAAGTCTGAAGTCTTTATTGTCAAGCATGCGTTTATATATATTTTGAGGATTACATAAGCATCTGGGGTACAGCTATTTTCTCCCCTGAAGTAGCTTGATTTTTCCCCATGATATCATTTTACTTCCTTAATTTATTTGGGTCATCAGCAGTCTCTAAAGGTTACTTCCCTTATTCAGTCTTGGGAAAGAGCTGTTCTTTTCATTTTCTGGGTAAGTGCAGTTAATATTTATAGATCTCTACAGTATTCTTTGCAGGGGGCGAGACTCGGGTTATGCTGGAGGACGGAACAAGCCTTGGGGCAAAGGTGAGCCAAGGTACGTCTAGACCAGGCACATACAGGTCCCCACATCCTCTTATAGAACTCCCACACTGAGACATCTGACCCTTTAACCCTCTTTCTTCGGCAGGGCCCTGGGGATGTTGAAGGAGTGTTAGTCAGAAGAGGGTCTTTCTTGTCTATTACAGTGGGATTCACCTTTCCCAGCAGATTCCCCTGGGGAAGCACAAGCGTCATGAAGAGAGCCAATACAGCAAGTGGTGACAGCAGATTGAGCAGGGAGGACCCTCGGCCGTTCCTGCCAGGGTGGCTTTGCAACTCCCCTGCTTCGTGTGCCCCGACTGTGTCACTGGGCTGCAGCGGTTGCAGGACGGCGTCCGGCACTCAGCCTCTCAACCTCTTTCACGACATTCATATTTCTGAAGAGTATAGCTAGTTATTTTGTAGAATGTCTCTCTGTTTTGGCTGGTCTGATCTTTCCTCATGATTAGATTCAAGTCATGCATTTTTGGCAAGTATATCACATAAGTACGTCACACAAGTGATATTGTTCTCATCGTTTCATGTCAGGAGACACAATGTCAATTTGTCTCATTATTGGTGATTTTAACTTTGATCACTTGGTTAAGGTGGCAACCACCAGTTTTCTCCATTGTAAAATTACTATTTTTCCCTTTGTAATTGAGTCATTAGCAGGGGAAATAATATTCTGTTTCTCATCAAACTTTCACTAGAATGCTAATTTTTAACTCTAAATCTCTGTTAATCTGTAGGTTTCCTTCCATCTTTTCTTTCCCTCTTGAAATTTTTTTTGCCAAAGAAACCAGCTCTTTGTCCTATTGAAATTCCCCCAATCTAGACTTTTCAGGCCACGGTCTCTTCAACCCGCCCCAAACAGGCTTTTCCCCACACCACTCCACTGAAACTGTTCTTACCAAGGTCACCAATAAATTCTAATTTCCACACCAAAAAATATGTTGTCAGTCTTAATTATCAAGAGTTTTAGACAGAATGTATTGCTCCCTTCTCTGAAGCACTTTTTTTCACTTGGCTTATAAAGTTCATACTCTGCTGCTTCTCCTCCTAGGTTCACTGATCTTTCCTTTCAGTCTCTTTGCTGATTTCTTCTTTACAACCTTTTAACTTGGAAATATACCAGGGCTCACTCCTCAGACCTATTCTCTTTTTATACCCCTTTAATTAGTAACCTCATCTGTCTGATGGTTTTGTTTTATTTTATTTAAAAAAAATTTTTTTATTTTTTTAAATATTTTTTGAGGAAGATTAGCCCTGAGCTAACATCTGCTGCCAATCCTCCTCTGTTTGCTGAGGAAGACTGGCCCTGAGCTAACATCCATGCCCATCTTCCTCTACTTTATACATGGGACGCCTGCCACAGCATGGCTTGACAAGCGGTGCCATGTCCGCACTCAGGATCGGAACCGATGAACCCCAGGCCACCAAAGTGGAACATATGAACTTAACTGCTGTGCCACCAGGCCATCCCCTGTCTGATGGTTTTAAAATCTATCTATCTCATGATAACTCCTAAATTTATTTATCGTGGATATCTCCTCTGAATTCAAGCATATTTGCCCAATTTCACCACTTAGATGTCTCTAGTAGCATCTCAAACTCAACATGTTCAAAACTGAGGTCCTGATGTCCCTCTCTCCCTGGTTGTGCTCCTACAGTTTTCTCCATCTCAGCTGATGGCACTTCCATCCTTTCACTCGCTCAGACCCAAAACTTGGGAATCACCATTGAATCCCCCTTTTCTCTCATAGCATACATACAATCCACGATAAATCCTATAGACTCTGCCTTCAAGTTAGACTTTGAATTCAATTACTTCTCACTACTTCTGCTATGATTTGGTCCAAGCCACCATCATCTCACTTCTTGATTATTCAAATAACCTCCTAACTGCTTGCCCCCTTGCTCCCCTCTAGTTTATTCTCCACACAGCAGCC